TTTGACTGAAAAAACCTCGGCGTTAGGAGACCTAGTGATCTCGAGAATGCGATCGGCAGATGCCGCTAGTTCGTCTACGGCGTTGTTCTGGAACGAGACCAAAACAGCTTGCACCTGTTGAGGAAGTTTGGATAAGAAAAGTTGCTTGAATAGGCCGTCATCGAAGGTTCTTTGGCCAATGACTTCTCGCATTCTTTGCAACATGTCTGTGGCAGAACCGTGTTGCAGGTCGATGTTGTTAAGGAGTTGGTCTAACGTTTGTCGATCGGTTAGATCTCCGCGTTTAAGGATGGCCTGTTTCAGTGTTTGGTATGGATCAGAAACATCACTAGTAAATATACTAGGTGTTACGTACCTGTTAAATTCGCGCGGTAGTGCCTTGACTACTGCGAGGAATTGTATACGCGCATCGTTCACACCGTGCTCGAAAAAGTCGGCTTCTGCATAACAAAACCAGGCTTCGATGATGTCTGGCCAGAAAGGCATAAGTTGGAAGGAGGGTGGGGACACAGTCTTTAACTTAAATATTTAGGGGTCTGTTCAGTCATAGTAATATATCAAGTACGAAAGGTGAACGAGTGGCAAATATATATATGAACCCAAAAACACGGGAAAAAAAATATCACAATGTAAAAAAAAGAAATTAAAATAAGACAATGATATATAAAATCACAAAAAGGAACAGACTCACAGTTTACAATATGGTGTACCAGATCACGTCGGGCTCACCAATGAAGATGCCACAGGTATTCGGAGTTTGACAACGCTTTAACCAGTAACACCTTCTAATACGAAGCGCACCCACCAAGTAAAGTCAAAAGACAGAAGCGAGGAGATCGAAGATATATTTGATAAGCTATCAATATATCGAGGATCGTTTGCACTAATCTGGCTAGCGATTGAGACAGATGTTGAGCACGGCGTTCCCACACGTGATCTGGTGCGGATGCTTGACCGAGCGCCTTCAGCTAGACGAGTCCACGAAAACTGTGGTCAGCATCCAATGTCGAAAACTTACAGAGCTATTTGATTTTGGGGAATTATTTACCGCTACAATATACTCGGTCTAGCCAAAGCCTAAATTCATAACCAAATGATAAGACAAGACGCAATATTTTATCGACCATATATCTTACCCCAATTAGACTGGACGAACCAGGCGAGTACAAAAGTTAAGAACGAACAAAATACATATAGTATACAGGTTTTCACACCAAGCCATGAATTCTTAGAATCCGCTACTATAGGAAGAGCTATCTGCTCCTTCAATTGGTTAATTCAAGAGAAAACCAAACACTCCCAGGAACATACTATAGAAGAACTGACTCAAGCCGAAGAACTTCTGCCTTCAATACCGAAATTTTGAAAATCTGATAACAAATAGATATGCAAACTATAAAACTTGCGCCGAAGAATTTTCGAAACACATGTTCATTGAAATCTTCGCTTAGGCTACAAGGTAAGATTCTTGATAGTAGAAAAGTTTAGTTCCTGGTGGGTGCCCTCTGAAACCTCGAGGTTAGACAAGACTGTCGTTAGTAGAGGAAACGTTTATGAAGTAAGATTTGGCGTGCCTGCAGAACCAAAGTGTGTGTTTACGAACCATACTTTTAATTTTGATACCTTCTATTTAGCATTAAAAAGAGCTTTATGTTTACTTTGGTTCAAACCATTTAAACTCCACCCTGGGAGTCAGAAGGTCTTCGTTTAGAAGAATTATGACGCCTCATGATGAAAGCCGAGTTCCTTCCGAAGTTACGAGGCCGATGCCCCTTCTGACAACCAGAGCAACTATTTATTTAGGGACATGGAATGCTCGTACAATGTGGGAGACTGAGAGAGTCTTCCAAATTGCTGCAGAAATGAGGAGATACAACCCAAAGGTGCTTGGGATCAGTGAAACACATTGAACGCAATTTGGACAACAACGACTAGCTTCAGTGGAGCTGATATTATACTTCGGACATGAAGAAGAAAATGCACCACATACACAAAGGAGTTGCATTGATGCTGTCTAAACAAGCACAAAATGCACTTATAGGATAAGAATCTCATGGACCAAGGATCGTCAAAGCCTCCTTCAAGACAAAGAAAGAGGACATTACAATGAACGTCATCCAATGCTACGCGCCGACCAACGATCACAATGAAGACCTTAAAGACCGATTCTACGATAGGCTGCAGTCAATCTTCGAGAAGTGTCCAACAAAGGACCCGACCATTCTGATGGGAGATTCAAATGCCAAGGTTGGAATTGACAACACTGGATATGAAGAGATCATGGGGCGACACGGACTCGGAGAAAGCAACAAAAATGGTGAGAGATTTGCAAACCTATGTGTCTTCAATAAACTGGTCATAGGCGGGACTATATCCCCACATAATCGCATCCATAAAACCAAATGGACTTCACCGGATCACACTATGCTGAACCAATTCGACCATATCTATATCAACAAAATGTTCAGGAGGACGATGGAGGAAGTGAGAACCAACAGAGGAGCTGATATAGCATCAGATCATCACTTGCTGGTCACCAAGATGGAATTGAAACTCAAGAAGCACTGGACAACGAGGCGGACAATATCCCAAAAGTTTAATACGGCTCTCCTTCGGGATGATGACAAAGTCAACAAATTCAAGATAGCCCTCAGCAATAAGTTCCAAGCCTTTCATGATCTACTCAATGGAGAAGGAACTACTATGGAAAGCAACTGGAAAGAGATAAAAGAAGCAATCACTTCAACATGTCATGAGGTTCTGGGCCAAAAGAAGCACCACCGCAAGGATCGGATCACTGTTGATACACTGGATAAGATTCAAGAAAGGAGGAACAAGAAGACAGCAATCATTACCAGCCGAACAAGAGCAGAAAAAGCCAAGGCAGAAGCTGAATACACAGAAGTAAACAAGCAAGTGAAGAGGAGCATCAGAACCGACAAACGTAAATATGTGGAAGATTTAGCAGTGACGGCGGAAATGGCTGTCCGAGAAGGAAACATGAGACAACTGTTTGACACAACAAAGAAACTCTCTGGATATCATCGTAAACCAGAACAACCAGTGAAAAGCAAGGAAGGCAAGATAATCACCAACATTGAAGAACAATGAAACAGGTGGGTAGAACACTTCAAAGAACTCTTGAATCGACCAGCCCCACTGAACCCACCCAACATCGAAGCAGCACTCACGGACCTCCCAATTGATGTTGACGCACCGACAATTGAAGAAATCAGCATGGCTATCAGACAAATCAAGAGTGGCAAAGCAGCAGGACCAGACAACATTCCAGCAGAGGCACTGAAAGCAGACGTGGCGGCAACTGCAAGGATACTCCACATTCTCTTCAGAAAGATCTGGGATGAGGAACAGGTACCAAACGACTGGAAAGAAGGACTTCTAGTCAAAATACCAAAGAAAGGCGATCTCAGCAACTGTGACAACTACAGGGGAATCACTGTTCTTTCAATACCAGGAAAAGTCTTCAACAGGGTATTGTTAAACAGGATGAAGGACTTCGTAAACGCACAACTTCGCGACCAACAGGCAGGATTCCGTAAGGATAGATCGTGCACAGACCAAATCGCAACTCTACGGATCATTGTGGAACAATCAATTGAATAGAATTCATCACTCTTCATCAACTTCATTGACTACGAAAAAGCATTTGACAGCGTGGACAGAACAACCCTATGGAAGCTTCTTCGACACTACGGCGTGCCTCAGAAGATAGTCAATATCATACGGAATTCCTATGATGGATTAAACTGCGAAATCGTGCAGGGAGGACAGTTGACAAAGTCGTTCGAAGTAAAGAACGGTGTGAGGCAAGGTTGCTTACTCTCACCCTTTCTCTTTCTCCTGGTGATCGACTGGATCATGAAGATGTCGACATCTGAAAGTAAGCACGGGATACAGTGGACATCTAGGATGCAGTTGGATGATCTAGACTTCGCAGATGATCTGACTCTTCTATCGCAAACACAACAACAAATGCAGGAGAAGACAACCAGTGTAGCAGCAGCCTCAGAAGCAATAGGTCTCAATATACACAAAGGGAAAAGCAAGATTCTCCGATACAACACAGCTTGCACCAATCCAATCACAATTGACGGAGAAGATTTGGAAGATGTACAAACCTTTACATATTTGGGCAGCATCATCGATGAACGCGGTGGATCTGATGCAGATGTGAAGGCGTGGATCGGCAAAACAAGAGCAGCATATTTACAACTGAAGAATATCTGGAACTCAAAACAATTGGCAACCAACACCAAAGTCAGAATATTCAATACAAATGTCAAGACAGTTCTACTGTATGGGACGGAAACTTGGAGAACTACGAAAGCCATCATCCAGAAGATACAAGTGTTTATTAACAGTTGTCTACGTAAAATACTTCTTATCCGTTGGCCAGGCACTATTAGCAACAACCTATTGTGGGAGAGAACAAACCAGATCCCAGTGGAGGAAGAAATCAGGAAGAAACGCTGGATGTGGATAGGACACACATTGAGGAAAGCACCGAATTGCGTCACAAGACAAACCCTCACATGGAATCTTCACAGCCGAAGGCTGAGAGGAAGACCAAAGAATACATTACGCCGGGAAATGGAGATAGACATGAGAAAAATGGACAAGAATTGGATGGAACTAGAAAAGAAATCCCAGGACAGAGTGGGTTGGAGAGTGCTGGTCGGCGGCCTATGCTCCATTAGGAGTGACAGGTGTAAGTAACTAAGTAAGTGAGTACTTTTCTAGTATTAAGTTCCCTTCTCCGGCAGAAGCAATGTAACTTTTTAAAAATGGCTTCTATGCGTTTTTTCGAATCCACGTTTTGTCCTGTTCTATAGAGCTTATGAATGCTAAATCCTGTTACTGTTTCTGGAAGTAGCTTGGTCATGAAAAAATACTGCTGGTAGATTGTTCATGTTTTTCATTTAAGGCGAATGTTATCGTAGTTTTGAGATATTACAGTTTTGTTTTAACTACCTGCGTATTGGCCTTGTCTGAAATTCAAGGCCAAAACGGTTTTCGTTTGTCATTCCGCAGGTTTTAAAGGCCGCACGTTGGACGTCTGATATCGCGTGTCATGTCTCTTAGACGTGTTTCGGTTATCGGATCGGGTAATTGGGGGTCGACAATTGCTAAAATAGTTGGTAACAACATTAGAAAGTTCCCTGAATATGTTCCGGAGGTACTACCAGTGATTTTCGTTAATGAGTTTTCAGGTTCGTATGTGGGTTTTTGAGGAGTTAATCAATGGCCGTAAACTCACAGAAATAATTAATACATCTAACGAAAATGTGAAGTATTTGCCCAATGTGAAGCTTCCAGAAAATGTTGTTGCTGATTCAGATGTAAAATCAGTAGCTCGAGATGCCGACGTACTTGTCATTGTTATGCCCCATCAGTTCCTTATTAGGACATTGGCCGATATTAAAACCGTTGTCAAACCAACATCTTATGCTGTTTCTCTAATGAAGGTAAGTGAGATGTCTATAGGTATTGTGTTTCACTCTACACTGAGTAATGTAAGATGACGTTCGCTTCAGTCTAACTTCTGAAACACCTAGTGAATTCATCGATATCAGTGTGAAAATCAAGGTGATCCGCCTCACTACTTATTGTTCTACAAGCTTTAGCATTAGCTTCGAACAAATTTTGACTACTTTAGCGGTCACAATAAGTTTTTGTCGCTATCCGTCATATTGTAATTCCGCCTGCACACACTTTATTGGATTAAACTCCACTAGTTGTGAAACTGCATACCGTTGGTGAAGTTAGAGATAGTAATCCTACAGCCTCGGGGCTCTTCCCCACTTATTGGTAACCGTCCTAACTACCTCGAATTTCACATAGTCAACACCATGTGATAACTATTGTGTAAATTGCTACATTCCACGTTCTGATATTGTAGAATCCCGAAAAAATAAGTCACGAACTTGGTCAGTATAATTGCAAGGTTTGGTTGCTACTTTAAAGTCATATACACGTTACTTAACAATGTCCTATTGAAATAGTAACCATATATCCCTCTTGTATAATCTGATTATGTACATAGTGAACCTCTAAATTGAATTTTTCTGTAATTATTGTTTGATCAGGGGTTGGCACTAAGTGATGATCATGGTATCAGGTTATTAACGGACTGTATCAGAGATGTATTGAATGTACCTTGTGCAGTCCTTATGGGTGCTAACTTGGCAACTGAAGTATCTCAAGAAAACTACTGTGAAGCAACTATTGGTATCGATGATCCAAAGATGGGGTCTGAATTAAAAAAACTTTTCCAGGTATGTAGTATTTGTGTTTATTTACAGGTCTGACGTATTCCTGTAGTTTGTTTACTCAGTGATTTTTATTCATAATGTTCACTAATCTTAGTTAATATGTTTAGGGAGATTATTCTGAGATACCACTTCCCTTCATTTTCTTATAACAGAATTAGCTTTTGTTACCCTGGCTTTTCAGTGTACGGTATGTAGTTTAGTCTTAAAATATTTTTCAATATTCTATTAGCTCAGGTCACAGGACGCTAATCAATGTATCGAAGGTACTTTATTTTTTGTCTTATTTTCAACATGGTTTGCTAACGCTGTTTACAGATTTGTATTCTGAACAATAAATTCTGCTTATTATTATAAGAATAACAAATCTAGTACCCCAGCTCAACATAAGGTAGATGTCATTAATCACAATGGGTTAGTCAAATAACTCACCATCCTGTATTTAAGTTAATGTAATTTTGTATGTTGAATTTATTCTCACTTTTTTAGACAGATTACTTCCGAATTGTGGTTATAAAAGACGAAGTTGCCACGGAATTATGCGGAGCTTTGAAAAATATTGTAGCAGTTGCTGCAGGTGTGATTGAAGGTTTAGGCTATGGCGACAACACTAAAGCTGCAGTCATACGTCTTGGGTTCATGGAAATGAAAAATTTCATTTATCAATTTTTCGCTGATCGCCGTAAGTTTTTCACTTTACTATCTGCAAATTATACCGTATTTATATTCGTGATTTTGAAATCCAAAAATTCTCTATCAGTTAATGTATTTACCAGAAAATCATAACAAAAGACACTAAATATATTATCTGAAAACAAAATCTAGATTTAACTAAGGTTCTATTGGATCTGTTGTAAGACGTGGCATGTGTATGTTAATTGTCATAATTGGTTAGTTACTATTTATAGTGCCTGTTTGGATTTCTTGGGACTATTATATGATTGTTATAAGTTATTTATTTAAACGGTTTTTAATTCTTTTGATATAGTTGACCAGTAATGTTTCAATCTAAAGATTTTGAACTCATAATTTGACGAAACGTATGCAACATGAGGCTGAAGAGAATGAAATAGTAGTTTTTGCACATAAGCTTCGGTCAGTCATCTACAACAACGCCTGTAGCTCTTCTAGGGTTACTGCCGGTCCCAAGCCCGGGTAAATGAGGGTTGAGCATGGGGTCGGCAACCCCATCCCGTAGAAAAAGATCTTGCTAAAAAACGCTAACCATATCAAACTCTGCCCTGGGAGTTAAAGAAAGGATTATGACGCCTCGTGATAAAAGTCGAGATTCTTCAGAAGTCACGAGGCCGATGCCCCTTATAACAACTAGGGCAACAATTTTTATGGGTACATGGGACATCTGGACAATGTGGGAAACCGGGAGACCCAGTCAAATAGCTATGGGAATGAGGAGATACAATATGGCAGTACTCGGAATCAGTGAAATCCATTAGATCCAAGCCGGACAGAAAAGGCTGGGTACGGGAGAAATTCTTCTGCATTCCGGTTACGAAGAGGAAAATACTCCGCACACACGGAGCTGCTCTGATGCTGTCTAAAGAGGCAGGTAATGCACTTATGGGATGAGAATCTCACGGATCCAGGATCACCAAAGCCTCTTTCAAAACAAAGAAGGGAATCACGATGAACGTTATCCAATGTTATGCACCCACAAATGTTAGCAATAAAGACGATAACGATCAGTTTTATAAGAGGCTGTAATCAATCATAGCAAAGCGATCAAGAGAAGACCTGATGAATAACAACCGGAGAGAACTGGAAAGGATTGCTTAGGACAGGTTCGGATGGAGAATGCTGGTGGGTCATCTACAACATAGGATCAGGTACATATATTCATCAGTTCAAGTTGCCATACCTCTTAAGTACAACAAGATGAGCACCAAATTCACAGAAGCACTTCAGTGGCAGTAAAAAAACTCATATAAAGATATGATACAAGAAGAAAGAATTAATTCGTAGAAATAAAGGTATAAAGTTTAATGGGAGACAAAGAGCGTATACACCTACGTCATTGTGGTCGATTTTGAGCCATGTCACTTAGTCTCCAACCGCTGGATACGATAGTCACGCGGACCACAACCAAATAGTCTGTATCTACCAACATGGCTCAGATAAGAAGTTAGTGACTTTATGGACTGACGCCACCTTTTGGTTTGGCCGTCCCTAACTTTCTTCCAATCGTTTCCAACACTAATCAGCATTTCGTGCCATGGTAAACGGTGGTTGGGCATGTGTAATACGTCACTCAACCACCTCATTCGATGTAGATTCACAACCTCATTTTTACCTACCCGGTAATCTCAGCAGATGCCAGCAATAATTCTAAGATATCTGTAATCAAATACTAGTAACTTATCAGTATTCTGTAACCTTAATGGCCACGTTTTTCAACCGTAAAGTAGAACAGATCAAACTGCTGCGTAGTATACTTGTCCTTTAGTTGATAGATGGATATTTTGCCTCCGCCGTAGGTGATGTAAGTCGGTAATAGCCAAACGAGCCTTTTTAATCCATCCACAGATTTTACCTGACACCATTAGGGTTGATCAGACTTTCAAGACAAGTGAAGTTGTCGATGCGTCTAACCTCACTATTACTTACCCGGTGATCCCAGCAGATACCCGCAATATTTCCAAGGCACCTGTGGTCAAATACTAGTAACTCACAAGTATCTTCTACTCTTAATGGCCACATTTCGCAGCCGTATAGTAGAACGGAACGAACTGCCGCTCAGTATACTCGTCTCTTAATTGATAGACGGATATCTCGCCTTCTCCATAGATGACGTAAGTTGGCAAAGGCCAAACGAGCTTTTCGAATCCGTGCTGAGATTTCGTCAGACACCAACTCATTAGGGCTGATCAGACTTCCAAAATAAGTGAAGTTGTCGACGCGTTCGACTACTTCACTCTCTATCCTTGGTGCAGGTATTGACGCAGGCTAGTCTTGAAGCAGTAACCTGCATTTGTAGGGGGAGAAACTCATCCCAAACATCCTGGCAGTTGCTCAGTGCAACCAGAAGACTGCATTTTATCAGCGTCTTCACGAAATAGGACTATGTCATCTGTGCATTCTAAGTCAATAAGTGGACTTGCTAGGAGATCGATTCCCAAAAATTCAGTCGACGAGAACGTTATTTCCAGCATTAGGTCTATGGAATTAAACAAAAATGGAAATAGTGGACAACCTTGACGGACATCACTTGATGTTGCAAAATCAGATGACAGTTCGTCATAGGCTCTGACTCGACTAGTAGTGTTCGAGTAAAGAGCCTTCATAAGGTTTATGTACTTCTGAGGTACACCTTTCAATGACAGAGATCGCCACAAAACCTCTCGATCTACAGAGTCAAACGCTACATTAAAATCAAGAAAAACTATCATTGTCGGACGGCGACATGTATGCCTGTGTTCTAAAATCTGACGAATGGTGGATATGTGGTCGATGCAGCCACGACCAGGTCTAAATCCAGCCTGGTTTTCTCGTATTTACAGTTTACGAGTATCTGTTAAGCGTCCGATAATTATTGAGGCTAGCATTTTAGATGCCATATGAGTCAATCTAATCCCTCCGTGGTTATCATAGGATGATTTTGACCTCTTCTTATATACTTGGACCATCAGTGATTGCAACCAGTTAGATGGGATTGTGTCCAACTCCCAGATTGTGACTAAAATATTAGTCAACCTAATTGCTAAAATTGAACCACTATGCTTGAAGACCTCTGGAGCCAATCCATGTGGAATAGATGCCATTTCTCGTTTTAGGTTAGCTATTGCTTTTTGAACTTTAATTGAAGTCGTATGGCCTATCTCAATGTTCAATTCAGGCTGCTTGGGAATGGTGGGTAGTAGTTGTAGAGTAGCTGAAAGCCAGCTGAATTACTCCTTAACCTTTTACACCTGCCGTTCTAAACGCCTAGACCAAGAGCAGATAAATGTCGTCTTTTTCTGAGATTGTCTCACTTACACCTGACCTGTTAGTTACCCACAGCCGCTGTCTTTTCCATCTCTTGCTTTCGTTGCCCACCACTGCTCATGATCATTCCATAGACTTTTGGTTAACCTAGATCTGATCTGTTTTCGTTCTTCATGGTGTTCGGAGACTGATGGAATGAGTTGACGAGCATCTATTAGTGCAATAGACTTAGTAGAAATCCACTGGTTTTTTGTGGCCCTTTAGTTCAAATCACTAATGTATGTCTCTGCTGCTTCCACAGCTGTTCATGTATCTTTCCAAGCAACATCTAAATCAGCCTCGTTTTCGAAACCGTCTAAGTGTGACCTCAGTTGTTCTTGGAATCTACTTTTGGATTCCTCGTCACTGAGTTGACTAATGCGTCTTCTTTATGTGGTTTTCCTGCGTCCAGTGAGGCACAAGCAAATGTGTGCTCTTATTAGAGCATGATCAGAGTCTCAACATGTATTCCAGAACGAGTGGTAGCCTTCTATCGAGCCTCTCTAACGGTGACTGGTGGCAATATGATCTATTTGAGTTCATCTTTGGTTTGGTGCAGGGAGACACCATGTTAGACGGTGCCTCTCCTTTGCTTAATGTCAGTGCTTGCTAAAAATAAACGATTGTCTGAGTACAGTTGTAGCAGACGGTCACCATTATCTGTTCGCTGATCCGGAATACCGAAATTTCTACGTGAATGTCTTTCTATTTGGTTTTAGCCACCTACCTAGGCATCAAAATCACCTGCTACGAATACTATATCTGAGCATTTAGCTTATTGTAGAAGTTCAGAAAGCTATCTGTAAAATTCATCCAGGCTACTGTCAGTGGGAGCGTAGGCAGAAACAACGAAAAGGCAACGTGTGTCCCTATACTTCCGAGTTCTTACAGGGCCGAACAGCACATAGGCGACTGTTAACGGAGGCCCAATCTAATAGTGTTTGTTCTGCCCTCTTACTTTGTGCCATGCCTACACCACTAGTCATCGGGTCGCCAGGCACACGGAGGATGCGTCTCGTCGTTTCTGCGTTATGGCGAGGTGTGGTCTAGTGAATGACCACACTAGGGTCCTGTATGCGTGTTTCGGAGACATAGCATACATCAATTGTACGAGATTCTGGTGTCAGGCAAGGATGTCTGTCAGCCGATTTTATTTATTTATTTTAACACATACGTATTGGTACAGGGAGGCACCAAACACATATGCGCCACACGAATCTCAATTGATTTTACATAGGGTGCGTACGTTGAAGGCTCCAATGTGTAGTTTGGGGCTAGGTTTTGGTAGAATTGAGACAGTATTTTGCTCACTAGAATCGTTGATCATGGTGACACTTGAGTAGTTCATAGTCGAGGTTGGAGGAGTAATCGGAAATAAAGAGCGAAATTGATTATGAACACAGTGGTTTTGAGTTCTGTTTGAGGTACAAGGGTGGTTATCACCTTCCAGTTGCCCACAGCATGGGACGGTTCTTCTAGAGGTACCTGGAAAGGAAATTGGTTTAGAGGTTCTCTTAGTGATCTGAGAGCATGACCGCAGTGCCCAAAGGAAAACTGCTTATGGCCGGTCACACTAGACCTTAGCGTGTGTGATTTTTGTGTTAGCTCCGTACTTGTTTGAGACCTTACAACCGGAGACGGATATTCGTAGGATAAGGCTATGTGTGTTTTAGGGTTGTCCTTTCTTTGTGGGAAGGCAGCATCGTTGTTATACTGGTTGTCTGAGGGAAATAACTTGCGGCCGTCACACCCCTGTACAGTCAACAGCATGATTACACCCTCGGACCTTGGGTCTACTGCTTTTAGTCTTATTGTTCTTCAACCAATCTGCCTGGCATGGTAGGACTTTGAGGAACGATTGTTCCAGTCAGTATAGCTCGATCACCACGTTAAGGTAGCAGCAACGTTCAGACCAACTTAGTCATTTGGCAATCAGTGTCCGTAGGTATAGTATGTGCTTTGCACCTTCCAAGTACAAAATACTTTTACAAGACCAGCGGGACCCTGATCCTGCACTCACCCTGGGTAGTGAGCAGATAGAAGTAGTCTAGAAGTTCGTGTATCTGGGTAGCTGCATAAGTGCTTGTGGTGGCGTGAGTGATGAGATCAATTCATGTATAGTAAAAGTCAGAGCAGCTTATGCCTCAACGCGTCGGTGATGGCTATTTTGCTCTATGCTTGTGAAACCTGGCCTTCGAGTTCAGGATGTTAAACGACTGTGTGTTTGATCATCGTTGTCTCCGAAGGATTTCTGACATGCAGAAAGGTTCAACATCCTGTGTTCGGGCACAAAGACAATGATTCGTTTGCTGCCGCTATCTTGAAACATCGACTTCGGTGGCTTGAACATGTTTTACGAATAACGTCCCAGAGTATTTCACGTCGTGCATTATTTGCCGACGCTGGGACCGATAGGGAAAAGCGGATAGGTAAGCGGTGTATGACATTGTGTCGTGGTATGAAAAAAAAGCTTCTGTTGGTCCTTCACGTCTCCTTGGTTTGGGTCCCAGCGATAGTACAACACAGTGGCTAGACGTTGTGAGACATGGCTCAGAATAGAAGCCAGTGACGATCCTGCTGTAACTTTCTATTTTCATCATGAAAGTAAACGTAACTTCATTAACTAGAAGAATTCTTCCCGGTTTTATTTTTTCTTAATGAACTGTTTCTCCCATTATTATTATTACTTCACTCACACTAATTTCTGTTCATTGTTGTTCTTTTTATTGCTCATCTCTCCACAATCTCATTTTTATTGTGTGGCGCAAATGTATCTAGTGCCCCCTTGTACCAATGTTCATGTGTTCAAATAAATAATAACTCGTATTTTAAAATATGGAATCAAAATTTAATTTCAGAACTACTTGTTCAGCTCAAAAGGATAGCTTTGATAAAAGACAGTTGTATAAAAGAACGTAAAACGGTGGCACACTAAACGTATTAGATGTCAGTTATATGAAATAGGAATAGTGTGTTGCAACAACATTTTTGGCATAGGATCAGAAGATAAAATTGAAAAATATTCTTGAGAAATACTAGCAAACCTTAAATTAGTTAACAGCAATAAACAACCTGAATTATTTGTTGTTAGCGTTCGTTCCAAACTGTCAATTTGTTTTTCATTTCTTTTAACTGAATTCAAGTGATCTAATTTGTTTTTAAAATAACACCCTTCAGTCTTAAGATTTCTAACAATGTTCATTTCAAACCCTATTTTATCTAAGTTTGATAGTTGTTGATATTCGTATGAATAGAACTTATTTGATACATTTTTCAATCCTCATCTGTAAAGCTAGGTGTTTTGATTTTGTTTAAGTTCCTCATATTTCAAATATAAAAATAGTACACGAATATCAACATCATATACCTTTTTTAAACTATTCACCCTATATTCTATTTAATAGATCCTCAAGAAGGCACGTTTCTAGAAAGTTGTGGCGTTGCTGATCTTATTACAACCTGTTATGGCGGTAGAAACAAGCAAATGGGCATAGCATTAGCCACCACAAATGAACCTTTAGCTCAATTGGAAAAAGAGCGTCTAAACGGTCAAAGTGCTCAAGGTCCTCTCACTGCTGCAGAAGTCTATGCAATGCTGGAACCCAAAGGCCTTCTTGAGAAGTATCCTATATTTACAGCTGTACATAAGGTGTGTACACGTCAGCTTGATCCAAAGAACTTTATTTGCTGTTTGGCTAATCATCCAGAACATCGATGAAAAAAATTGTATTTAGTGAAGGATTTTAACTTAGTCTTCCAAACCTTCATTTATCTATGTACTAACTGGAACACGACCAGTAGAAGGTTTCAGTGACTATAGTAGTTGAAAACGCAAAATGTCATTAATCTAGTTAATTTGTTGTTTCTTCTGTCACCATTTTAATTTATATTTGTTATGACTCTTCTGTATTACTAAGTGTAGAAACTAAAACTAAGATTCATTTAATGTGTAGACCATATTATCTATTTGTTTTATCCTTTTCTCAGAAATTTTTTGCGCCTGTATATTATTGGCTATAATGATGAGTAATAAAAATTCTAGAAGATATATCAGTCTCTATGTTTACTATTGTCTTATTCTGCAAATGGTTAATATCCTGTAAGGATAAAGAATGTCATGTGAAATAAGTTACGTTCAACATGCCTTGCAAAAGTATAGGCCTGTGTAAAAGCTAGTGCTGTACATTCACCATATAATGACTTCATATTATCATAAGTAATAGTATTGATTAAGTGTCACCACAGTAATTAAGGTGTCATACATGATCTACTCATATTAGTGAACATTGAATTATTTGATAAAATATATTTTGATTTACTACAACCTTCCACAAACGTAACATTTGACAAAAATAACTTCGAAAGATATTTGAGGAACAAGTCAATATAACTAATCATAATAAACAACAACAGTAAGACAAGTGACAAATCCAATAATAAATGTCACGTTCATTTGGTCCTTATTCCCTATCGAATATGGAAAGTAGCTTACCCACATGCGTCTCAAGTGAATTACAATTTAGGGTTATCTGGTATTATTTTAATTATAAAGCAAATGATTGATCAAAATAAACATTTTGATTGTCAGGAAAGTATACGTTTTAAGCAGTCCGTAGACGTAGAAAATTCAGCATAACACTGTCCAGATTCTTTGTTGTCATAAATTAAATTGTGGAATACAATAATATATTAGGTACTAATGTTACTAAAATACTTCTCTTCTTAAAGTAAGGTTTAGATATGAATTTTGTCTGGTAAGTGTGATTTAGTCTCAATGGAGCTTCATCTTCGAATGCCAACTAGTGGATCAGTCGCTTCAATGGTACGCTAATACAGTCTCACAACTACTGAAGTATCATTATTCCAACTACCATATTAACATTATTTGCTAATTTAATAAGTCTACATAACATATTCAGAATACCATTGAGAAAATGATAACATAAGTACTGTTACTAAGTTGTCAGCAGACAATTTAAAGAATATTCAAATCTAATGTGACACAACTAAGTTACACTATTTTGTAATTACTTACTGAAGTACACTTGGTATTGTTTTGCTTTTATCTTCCCATTGAGTTTTTAAGAAGTATTGATCGAGTCCCAGAGTGAACATCAACTCTGAGATGCAGGTACATCCAGCTGACGGGTCCCAAATAGGACGAAACGCGCGTCCTGGATTCCACTGCTAGCCACCATACATCTTTGCTTTTAAAAAACTTACTGAAGTAGTTTTTATCATGACGATATTAAGATTTGTGATTAAATAGAACGTCGAAACGAAATACGTTTCAATTTACCGTTTGTATAAATAATTTAGTCTGTCCATTTATGTGAGTATTTTATTGTTTAGTTAATCCTGTGAAAAACATTCACAGAACTACACAACTTCACTGTCATCATCTCAAACACTTCCCCGTCTACTGTAGTTAAATAACAGTTACATACTGTCCCAGTTATTAGATGATGAACACCAGTTCAACAAAACTCCAACATTCACCATCACATACAATATAACAATGAAGATTCCTAAGTCTGAACGTCTATACTAACTACCCATTATAATGACGACAAACATTCACGCTTTCCAACCAAACATATACATGCAAAGATTATTTTCTCAATGCCAAACCCTACATATAACTTTCACATATCACTGGGTCACTATACTAATCGTGCTGTGTTCAATAAGTATAAATATTATTTACAAGTGTACATTGATATTTGCTCACTTTTCATTATTATTGTCAGTTTACATTGCATAGTTGATGTGCACTTTAGTCAAGATTTCAATGAACATTTTCACATTGAATGACTCATTCACACAATTCACTAAATCCAACAACTGAATATAATTGGACAATTGTTTAGTACAGATTAGATTTGACCTCATTCACTTTTGATAAGTAGTTAGCATTGAAGCTCGGATCAGTGAAAAGTTAGATTTATGTTATTTCGATAGTTGGGGATTTTACGCATGTAATTTCATGTCGTCATCTACATACAACAAGACCTTTCTTCTAACCCACAAACTCGTCTACATAACAAATTGTGATGAATACATAAACGTTTTCATGCTTCCGTCATGACTTTTAAGACTATCGTGATCTTAACAGAGTTGGATGATGACCAGTAGTGGAATACAGAACACACTTTTCATTCTATTTACAAATTATCAGCTGGATTTCAATACTAGCCACCATCCATTTTTGTTTATAATGCTTATGACTTAATGATAATATCGAGGTAACCCTCACAAGATTCATATATACCGAAAGAGACTGATCAATTATAGTCCTAAACATCACTGGCAAGATTCGAGCAACCAACTCATATTGATTTGTTTTCGTCGAAGTTTATTAAGTGAGAAATTGACGAATGTGTTTGTTCATTGTTAAATTGTGAATTTCTTTGAGAGTTATATTGTTAGTATACTCGGTTCAGTATTAGCATTAATGCTCTAATAAACAATTATTTAGTGTTAAAACAGAGTAAGAACGACAATATCTGCACAATACGATGAACTCCTTTGCATTTCGTTGCATTCTCTTCAGCTACATACAAGCTAATATGTTCAATTATTTCGAATTATTAACTAAATGTAAAATTAAATTGATAATAGGTTTCGTGTAATGTGAAGTAATTTTGAAGTTAAAGTTTTATGACTGGGATTTATTATATCTGTCTAACGTAATGCTTCTCGAATATAGATATGATTTTATCTATACCACAAAAGTATCTCAGACTTCACTGAAACTGTACACTTAGAATACTCAGTACCTACAACTACATTTTAACCTCTCTTAAACTAATTGTATTCATAATTTGAGGATTTGACCTCGCATGTCCACTTTTCCTTTATAAAATACCAAAAATGCCGTTATGTTAACCAGTAAAATGATATCGACATATAGAAGTATTACGTTAAGCAGGTATGATAAGGCCCATTTTTCAAACCTTAATTCTTAACTTCTTCCACACTACATATAACTTATTCATAATCAATGGAAATAATTATGTTGATAATCGGAGATGACTGAACATATTGGCTTGTATGTCACGGAAGAGAATGCAACGAAATGCGATGAATTCATCGTATTCTGCAAATATTATCGTTCTTACTTTGTTTAGATTTTTGAAGGGAACCAGTTGCACGAAAATATCTTAAGATTGATGACGATGATTTGTATTGTGATTGGGTTCTTTTGACGTTGGTTTTTGTCACAAATTGAACGGAATAAAATACCTATGCAAACCAGAGGGCAATAATTAAATTTATCAACCTAGTATCTGACTCTTTAACACTTCTTTTTCACAATCTTATCAAAAAGTGAATTCAGGATCCCCAGATCTCGTCAGATCTCCTGATCATCAAAACCTTAGGGATGTTATACTCTAGTATGTATTTCTAAGTAAAATTAATTCATGATCTTCATCCAAACAGTTGAGCGATTTATCGAGATAAATTAAATTCGAATTATTATTCATCATATGGTTTATCAGTGATTCCTATTATTCTTATTAACCATCTCCATTTCCAGTCACTCTCTTAGGCTTTTAGCCCAAGCCAAGTTCATTCTTGTTAAAATCCTATTGTTGACTGCATTTCACTATCAAATTTATGTTATCATGTTGTTTGGTTCACCTTTATCATCATTGATCTCGATCTACTTTTAACGATAGTCCTGATGAAGTTTCCAATATTTCGACAATTCAGTTGTCCACAAGCATTGATACAAGAGAGGATATGTCATGGCGTTTGACTGCTAATTGATGCTCGTGAAGAAGATGAAGGCGTCATCCACTTTGGCTGATCTAAGTGGAAGAATTTATTTTATATATGACATTCAGTCTTTCTTCTTTTGTCATTTCGTCCTTTGGTTTGCATAGGATTGATTGAAGTGATTTTTGCTGGTTTATGTGTCACACTTATTCCAAATGGCTTTAATAATCTCGTAATTTCTTATGTGTCTTTTATATATGATAGGATGATCCGTTTGCTGGTTTCTGTACTTGATTTAGTTTCTGCTGATGAGTTGGTGATGAAGTTGATTGGGTAGCTGTTCTTTTGAAAAACGGACTTAAGATATTTTTCTGCGCTGCTAGTGTGTTGCATTGTGTCCTCGCACTCTTAAATAAAGCTTGTACGAAGTTGATTTTGTGAGTTCTTGAGTTGGGGCTACTGTAATTGAGAATTTGATCTGAGTGAATCGGCTTCCGATATACTTGAGTCTCAAGGTTTCTTGTGTCAGTTCTGGTGATTAGTACATCTAAAAATGGTAGTTTATTGTTTGACTCCTCTATTGTGAAGTTTATGACATCGAAGGCGTTGTTGACGAGATATAGGTGTTTTCCAGCTGGTCCTTTTTGACAATGACAACTTGGTCGTCCAGATAACGAATCCGAATTATTGGTTTGATCACTGGTAAGATCGAGACTTCCAGTCTTTGCATCACTGTTTCTGCAATAAGTCCTGATATTGGTGATCCCATCGGTGTTCCCTTCATCCGTTCGTAGATTTTATTGTTGAATTGAAAGTATATTGCTAAGCAGAAATCAAAGAGTTCTAGTAAACTTCAAAAACCTGAATCTAGAACCTTTGATCCCACACGCGAACCCTTTACCTCCAGAACACTGAGCCGGTAACCAACAGAGTTAATGTCTAGCTCCAACCAATTCACAATATTGCGCGACCATCCACCATTTTCTTCGGCGACTGAGTGTTTCACACCCGACACGATTGAACTGCACTGGTCACGGCTTCCCAACAGAACTCCGAGAAGTACCTCTTGAAGTTAGTCAGTAGTAAGCGGGATCGTGGATGAGCTCTGCTAGTGAGTCTCATATCTGGACAAAACGTTTGTCCAGTGCTTCCAGGTTTTTACTCGTGGTCTATCATTGGTCGGTTCATGAACCCAATTAAAATCCCGTTTTTATTCTGTGAATAAGAGTAATACATTTTCACACTTTAAATACGCATGCGATTTTTTTATTTTCGGGAATGAAAACACCGAAATGAGATCTCGTCTCTGAAACACTTTCTGTTTCA